CCCCTCCACCGGCTTCATTCATCCACCGAAAACACAGCCGGACACACACCTGCGCCCCAGGTAGTGACTTTGCTGCTGAAATCTCTGAAAAGTTCCCCAAAAAGGTGAATAATGGGCAGGGAGGGAGCTGCTCCCCCTGGGATTGCGATTGGTAAAAAGGAAAATGTTTCATCTCAACCCAGCAACAGGTCAGAAGTACATGCAGGGGTGGCAATGTCAAAGGATGTGTTTAGTTTAGTCTAGGGGAAAGGGGGGGAAAAAAAAAAAGAAACTTGCTACAGACACCATAATACACAATAAATTTAGATAATTTAAAAATAAAAAAGGCAAGAGGCAGCATTTCAGCAGCAAAGTGCTCAATAAAAAGTATGTTGTCGAGGGACAGTACACTGGGAGGGGGAGAGAGCAGGCGGGGAAGGGGCTCAGAGGAAGTAGGGCGTGGTTGTTCTAGGAGGAATTACACGTTCTGAGTCTGGAACGGCGCGGAATAACTTTGGTTCTCTTGTATTTACATCTTTAAAGACCATGATTGATGCAATATTTCCACAGCGGTAGCAGTAATTTGGAGCAGACCATACTGTTACCAATTTCTCATCAAACATGAATTTATAGCCTTCGTGAACGAGCTGGTGTGCTCTGCAGATGAGTTTTAAGTTGTTGATGTGAACAAACTGTAAAGGAAAAAAAGGAAGGTCAGTTTTCTCCCAGCAGCTGATGCCGCTGCCCACCCAGCAGCCCTCTCCCACGCGTCATGGAGGGGTGGAAGAGAATATTTTCCACCCAGTGCACTGAAAAAAACTATTTGAGACCTGAGCAGTGGAAACAGCTATGAAACACAGGTGACAGTGTGACACCCGAGTCCGTGCCGCCCGCAAGGCTCCATCCTCCCTGGAGGTGCTGCGGAAAGGCCACAGAGACAATGCACGGCACGAGGGCGGCGTTCGGAACGCAGCCGGTGCTGGAGCCCGGGAAGGGCTGCATGTGTTAAGCCCTGAGAAGGCTGCTCTCTGTTTTCCAAAGTGACAAAAATTAAGTCAAGAATTGTTAAGAAAAATGGTACAGTATTTTTTTTTTTTCTCCAAAATCCTTAGAAAAGTATTCTACACAAACCCAAGTGATGCTAGCTACTCTCACTGCATTATACTTTTTAAAAGCAAGACCTGGCAGCTGTATTTTTGTTTTTAACTTCAAATGGCTCATCTGTTCAAGTTGGCTTGAGCGACCCTTCTCCAACACGAGGACTCGCTCGCAGCGGTCTGACAAGGACAGTCCATGCCACTGCAGTGCCCTCAATCCGCTCGTCACTGGGGTAAGTGTCACACTGAGCCGGACACTTCCATCCCTCTCCCGCCTGCAGTGACCTGCTGCTGCACCCAACAGCGTCATTACCTCATTCGTCACCTTCGCGCCGAAGAGCCACCCGGCCCCTCGCGGGCTGATGGCCCACGTGTCCACATCTTCCGGGTCGGACCAGACGAGGTCACAGAAGGCGCCTTTGTGAGGAATTTCTTGATTACGTTCAATGGTTCGAATTTGATCGAGTGTCTTGATGTCTGGAGAGAGGCCACCGTGCACACAGAGAATCTGCTCGTCTATTAACTGGAGAAAAACAGACACATGCGAAATACTCAAGATTTTCATCCAGCCCAAGGCCACCAGCGTGACCTTTAACAGTCACCAGTTCTAGCGACACATTCAGACAACCCACCCAGACTTCTGTCACGTGCTGTTTACACTTACAGCTGCTATTGTCAGCATGTCGAAGACTTTGGTGCAGTATCTCCAAGCGTTAGCGTTTCCATATTTGGTTTGGCACTCATCTGTTGAACAGAGAATTTTTGTCTTCTTAACGGATCAGAAGGCGTTCAGACAACAAGATCAGAGGCAAACACTTACAGCAGAACCGGAACAGTCAGACGAGCAACAAGAACCCTCCCAGGAGCCCCGGGGAGCAGCAGTGGGAAGCACGGGGTCTCGGGCAGCGCGGCTAGCGACGCTCTCGCTGCTCCCCATGGCAGGGAACCGGCCCTTGGCCAACCCAGCTGCACACAGGAGAATCCAGGCCAAAAGCGTGAGCCGGCCAGGGCTAGTGGAGGTATTCCTGCCACAGCTGGGAGCTGCAGTGGCTTTGTTTAAACCACACAAACATGGCAATAAACCTGACAGGCAGGTGGTTCTTAAGCAGCTTGTGAACGTTTGTATTTGCCCTTATTGACACGTTATCTGAAAGAAAGTACGTCACAGACACTGGTCTTTGTGGCAGGCGTTAGATATTTTCCAGGGTTTCCTCAGGTTTCATCAACACCCCACGCAACAGAAAAAGAAGCTTCCAAGCAATTTAATTCCCTCTGTTCTTCAAACAGTTGTTCTGCACCTTATGTCTTGCCAGGGGCATCTTCCCAGATGCTCACTGCTGACAATAAATGACTTCCACAGCAGACTCTGTGTGTCACACCGATTTTCAGTTCTACTGAAACTTCAGCGGAATTACAGTAACACCCCAACTTTGTGCAGAACCTCTCACTGCGAGACACCAAAGCACAGGCTGTATCAATACAGGCTCTGTCTCTACCACTGAACGTGGCACCAAAAGCCAAACACCAAGCCCAGACACTGAAGGAACAGAGCAGCAAGATCTGGATGAAAACACCACGTTCTGCTTCACAAACACAACGATCATGTTAACAAATGACAACATTCGAGTTTTACTGAGCCCCCTCCCACACAGCCCCTGGCAGCGCTGCAGGCAGAACAAGGTTCTAAAGGGACAGATGCTGTACGCGATTATTAAGTGTTAGCGCCACCCGGACAAAGACTTACCATAAAATCCATACACCTGTGTTATCTGCCTGCTCTCGTGATTGCCGCGTAACAGCGTGATACGATCAGGCCACTTAGCTTTCAGTGCGAGCAGGTAAGTGAAAGTCTCAAGGCTGTAATAACCTCTATCTACAAAGTCACCCTGCAAGTCAAAAAAATATTAATAAATGGAGAAACAGTCAAATGGAAAAATGCAAAGTGACACATCCACTCTAAACATCGCGCAGTGCACAGAGAGACAGCGCTGAAGGGAAGCTGGGATCTGGGTCTCTGAGAACACGCTCTGTGGTCACTGGGAGTTTCAGCTCCACATGGACGTGCTGCTGCCACCCCCCAGGCGCTGCCCTGACACACGGGACACCCTGGCTCAGGCAGGGAGCTGCTGTGCCACCGCCTGGCTCTGTGCCACCGCCCCAGCGCTGCGTGCCCCTTCACACCACCACACTCAGGCTTTGCTCAACAAAATAAAACCCCTCGGAGCAGCCAAACAGCAAAAGCAAAGGCAGCGCTCCCAGACCGGCTCTGAAACCCAGCGAGCACATCGGGAGGTGAAGTTTAAACTCATTCGTTAACCATCAGCCGAGAGACGCGGCGAGCCCGGTGCAGACGTACCATGAAGATGTAGTTGGTGTCGGGGACCTGCCC